TGGTAGAATGACGAATGTTGCTTTTCGGTTAGGGAAAGTTCACGCCCTATGAGATGTCGTAGTACTAGATGTGAACACATACGATGTCCTTCTAGGACTGCCAGCTCTCACAACATTACGGGCTAACCTGGACTTTGAGAGGCGATAAATTATCCTTCAAAACATAGGCGGAAAGCAGTATATTATTCCGATGCAATTAACTTTTCAGACCACGCTGTCCCCAACTCAAAAAGCCTCGCCTGGAACCAAGGAACCCCTCTGGGTGATCATGTGGGAGGCACCGATCCACGAAGAAGATCAAAGGGGAAAAGAACCCAAGCTACCTAGCAGCTCATCCGACAACGATGATGGTATGAATCCTGTAATCCAAGATATGGCGCACTGACTGATCCGCTACCTATCCGACAAAAGACGACGAAAACGTTCATCCTTACAGAGAAAAACCTCCAGTGAACACGGGATCTAATCTTCGGGGAGCCGCTCGTACAAGTATCCCAGATGATTGATTCTTTGGAACCCCCTCGGACCCTATACGACGTCACCTCCCCACTTCTCTCGATATATCGGAAGAAGAAGGCGTTTTGTGACATTACAGGGTTACCTCGTTCCTTGTTGTCCTCAAGAAAGGAGGTGCGATTACTATGGCAGGGGGCCGAGAGCGAAGCTTTGGAACCCCCTGGGCACGGTCACTCTACACCCTATGAACTCGGAATCAAAATCACCGAGAAGCTAGTATGCTGGCAGGACATCAGCGATGGCATGAGCCCAGAAGAACATGTGACCATCCGAGAGGAAGATGCTCAAATGGTCGCCACCGTGTTTTCCTAGCGGTCGGACAATTCCTTTATCTTTGCGCCACCTGTGGAGAGCAGCAATAGAATGGGCACGAAGCACGTGACAGTTACCATACACGGACAACCATACTAGTTGCATGTACCTCAGTATGTACTCAGTGAAACTCATCGATTGATTGTGGATATTCTAACCAAATATCAAGGGGCAATTAGCGTAACGGATACGGATATCCCTTAGTCATTCAACACGAAATTCAGACCGGAACACACACGCCAATCCACTGCAAACCATACCGGTATTCTCTTGCGGAACGAAAAATAGCACTACAAAGAATTAGAGAATTTGAGGCTAACGGGTGGATCGAACCGGCAACTGGCCCTTGGTCATTTCCCGTAGTCTTAGTCCCGAAGAAAAATGGGTCGATTCGCATTTGCATTGATTACAGAAAGCTGAATGAGATCACAATTAAGGGTGTTTACCCCCTTCCCCGGGATTGATGATCTGTTGGATGCGATTGGGTGTGCTAATTATTTCAGTAAGTTTGATATTCACCATGGATTTCATCACATTCTGGTTAAGGAGGAGGATCGACCGAAGACGACCGCTGTGTTATTCGAGGGCACCTGGCAGTGGGTTCGCTACCCAACGGGAATTTGCAATGAACCTGCTACTTTCCAGAGAGCGATGAATGTCACGTTTCAGAAGTTCGTCAACAAGACCAGATTGACGCAAGGCATGATTAATTTTTGTGTCATTGTGTACATGGACGACATCCTGGTCTACTCGGGGTCGTTCCACGGGCATGCGCAGCATATCGAGTGGACACTCAGAGCATTGTAGGATGTTGGCTTCAAGATTACATTGGAGAAAGTGAGTTTTTCCTCTCGGAGATCTCGTTCCTGGGGTACGTGGTGACCAGGGGAGGCTTACGACCGAATTCGAGAAAGGTCGCGGCTGTTCGGGAAGCCCCTACGCCGACAACGTTGACACAAGTCCGGGCCTTTTTTGGGGCTGGTCTCGTACTATCACTGATTTATCAAGGGTTTTGCAGCCATCGCACGACCCCTAACGAATCTCCTACGGAAGGACCAACCACTGAATTGGGATGCCGAGTGTGAACGAGTCTTTGTCACCCTAAAGAAGACTTTGGCCACGATGCCTATTTTGATCCGGCCTGACCTGGAGAAGCAGTTCATACTCATTACGGATTGGCAGCCTGAAGCAATCTCCGCTATTTTGGCTCAGAAAGGGAAGGACGGTCACAAACACATCATTGAGTACACTTCGCGAACGGTACCGGACGAGAGAAGAAACGATTCGGCTCCTGAGGGAGAATGATACACGGTTGTTTGGGGGATTCGACACTTCCATCCGTATCTGTACGGACAAAAGTTTCTCCTCGTCACGGACCATGAGCCTCTGCTGGCTCTCAAGAGGCTTACCAACTACACGGGCATGATTGCACGTTGGGCGGTGCGACTGCAAGAATACTATTTCGACCTCTTCCACCGGAAGACGAAGAAGCACGGTAACGCTGACGGACTGACACGATTTGCACCGGCCTAACAAGGTGGCCAAAGACGAAGAGATTACACTGTGGAAGAAACCGGAACCAACCGACGAGCCCTCGTACGGATAGGTGGCCATCCTCCCTCGAACCTCTAGGAAGTGATCGACAACCACAATGGCGATGGGGCATGAAGGTAATTCCAAAAGTCCTCTTTCTCCCCTCTCGTCTTCATCTTTTCTCTCCCTACCTGATACATTTTGCTATTTTTGCGAGGCAATCGCGAGAGTCTACTCAGTCCCTATGCGTTCTAGTGGGGAAGGGTATGTCGAGTGGGCAGATTGTCAGCGGTGTGTCTCCCGAGCTTACGGTTCCTGCATTCAGTACAGAAATACGGGCAAATTTTGGTTGTGTCCCTTGTGTCGAACCGATAAAATTCCGACGGAGGCTCGATTTCTCGAAGCCACGTCTGAAGGATTGGAAAATACTCGACGGTTTAAAAGGGCCGAGGTATGGACAAATGTCGTTTTGATAGTCATGGTGGTTGGGAACTCCCTCCGAGACTTCACTAAGGAGGACCGGAGGAGGGCCAATGAGAGGGCAGGAGACTATCGATGGAATGGAGGACGGTTAGAAAAACGAAAGACGGACAGTAGTGGGATTTGAATGTCTATGCCACATCCGTTCATGAGGTATGACTGGGTCAAGTCAACCGACGTGGAGACTGCGGCTCACTTCGCCATCCGGATCACGGAGGCGACGATAGATAAAAATGAATGGTATTGGTCCCATATTCGCGACGATGTTAAATTCATCGTCCGAAATTGTCCAGTCTGTGCCGCTGACGAGGCACCGATTCAGCCGCCTAGATCAATAGTGCTTAACATAGTTGAACGGTCATTCCAGAGAGTCAGCATGAATACCACTGATATTGTCATGCCCCCTGGACCGAATAGCTATGAATATTCAATTCTTTTGGTATTTGTAGATCATTTTTCAAAATGGATCGAGGTGTATCCTTATAAGACATGACATGCGGTGGAGATCGCGCGATATGTCAACCGTTTTCTTGGGATGCATCAGGATACAAAGGAGATTTTAACGGACAACGGGGTGAACTTTAGGGGAGAAGTCTTAAAGAATCTATCCTACTGACTCCTACATAGTGTCTCTGTTTGCAATACTGCCCCTCATATGTCGCAATCGAACGAACAGGTCAAAAATGCGAACCGAGTAATTAAGACGGCATTACGACGTAATATAGCTGCGAGAGATACCAGGCCCTGGCCTGATATCGTGGATCACATCCTGGCCATTCATCGGGGGACACCCCATGCGTCCATCGGCCTGACCCCCTTCCAATTACAAACCAATAGTGTGGCCTGTGTAGCCCTACCGAGCCTAAATGATGAAACGACCCTTTTGCAACGGGCAACTAGAGCGATGGTCAAGGATAAGGCCCAACGCCATCTGGCATTAATGGAAAAGGCCCTCCCACAATTAGCCCCAAAAAAACAGCGGATGACCGAAATGGCCCACGGACGACAGGTCCGGAGCTACGAGGCCCGAAATGGGAACGTTGGGCCTCCGCCCCAGTATAAATTAGGGGACATAGTGCAAGTGAGAAAATGTGCTCGCCAGGGTAAGTTAGCGCCACGATTCTTCTGGCGATTTCGCGTTATCGAGCTCGGTCCTAGCGGAGTGAACACGGTGCGGCTCGAGCCGGAGGTGTCGGGAAGTCGATCGGCTCGCCCGATCATTCGACACATGTCCTACATTCGTCGCCTCTCCTCTTCCCCTTCTTTTCCATCATCTACGTCGTCCCTCGATCTCGAGGAGAAACACGACCACCTTGACTACCTTGGTCCCTCTTCTTCTCAGCCCTCGTCTCCTTCGCCATCGCCATGAGCGTTTCCACCGAACAAGTCATCATCGAGCGGATAATGGTACCCAGGGGAACCATCTCTGCGATCCAGCAAGTACAACGTCCTCGATTGAGTCCAAATCTTCTTCAATTCGCGGCCTTCTTCAGTACGGCGGCCATCCACGCGGTGGCAGAGTTTCGGTTCACACGGGCCGATTCAGCGTGAGTGTTGGCTGAGGTGTCAGCCTTCCAGCGATTGTCTCTGCCAGGCGTCAACCACGAGTCGGTCGTGGTCGCCTTTACCGGCGACCTTATGACACTGCATCCGGGGACGCATACGTCTGTCCTTCGAGAGTTGCGACGTTGGGCGAGGGACGTTATTTGTGCGTGGGTACGATTGCTTGCTTGGCGAGGTGAACGGATCGACTCCTCCAACGACGTCGATCTTAGCTCGCTCCGCCTCTCTTCCACCGCGCCGGAGGTTGTCCGTCCGGAGCTTCGCCCCTTCACACCGCCCCAATGAACTATCATTGCCTCTCCACCTTCGGCCTCCCCTCCGATCTCCCTACGTTCTGGCAGTCTGCAGTCGACGCTCCTCTATCCTTCAAAATCAGGCAGTTGGACGTGTCAATTCTTGACGCGGACAAGTGGGCACGGTGGTGGCACTCGTACGTGGCACTTAGCTTCTACCTTCTCGAAGTCGTATTCCATTCGGCGGAGCCAGCCGACAAGAGCGAGGAGGACGAGATCCCCGACGACGAGGTGAAATTGTTGATCGTCCAAGCTTGGGTAACGGACACAAAGGGGGAGCTTTTAGGAATCTTGTTTGGGGAAGTACGGGACGTCCATCTGGATTCGATCACGGATGAGCTGTTGGTATTCCTGACCCAGTTGTTGGATGATCTGCCCTTGGACATCCTCTTGCGCTGTGACGAGAAGCCGGAAACGACCAAGCTCACTTGACACTCGTACCTTGACGCCACTCCTCCTGTGGTCCACGTGCACGGATCTTGACAAGGATAACTGCCGCTATCCTTCCCAGGGCAAGTACCTGGTCATCGACGCTACTGATCTTTCCGTGTGGGACCCTCTCATCCGGCGGGTGAACGTAGGAGAAACCAGCGAGGAAGCCAGAGAGGAGAAAGAGGGAGAAGAAGCAGTCGTGGAAGAGGTCCAGGAGGACGATCATCTTCAATACTCGGAAGGACAGGAAACGCTGGAGGAGGAAGAATCGAAGAGTGGGTCGGACGATCCCGATTATCACGGGTCGGAAGACGTTGAGTCGGTAGAGGCCGACTCGGGAGAAGAAGACGTTGAGTCGAAAGACTCCGGCTCGAGACGGGAGGATTCTGAGGAGGGAAAAGGCGGATCGGGTGAGTCAAGTGGTCCTGCCGAGCTGAACAAAGAGGAGGAAGAGGTTGTAGCGCAGAGAAGACAGGACGCGGCGGAAGGCAAGCGGTCGATCGAGGAATCAGAAAGGCCGCCATCGAAACTGCTGCAGGGCGATCCGATGCTTAATCCAGAGCCGCCGCGAGAAGAGATCGAGAGAGATGGAGGCGCCGCCACAGAGGGATCGGGAAGCCGACGCCGCCGAAGAAGTGAATCGCCGACTCAATCCTCTCCACCATCGCGGACCACCGTTCGCCTACGTCGAGATGCGGGCGCTCAGGCTTTGTCCCCGATCATTATCTCGTCGTCCCCGTGATTTCCTCACCCTTCAACAGTTGATAGGCCGACCCCCATTCCCCGATAGATGGCACCCCTTCCCGCCCTACCACTCGCTCGCTCGCCACTTTTTTCCCCCTCCACGTCCTTCTCTTTAGTGTAGATTGATAGGAATTTAATAATATAGAGCTTCATTGCATGATCGCGGGCACAATCCCCGCGTGCGAAGATCATGAAGACTTCCGCGTCGTGATCCCCCGTACCCTCTGCACACTCTATCCGGATTACCTCGCCTCTCTTCCCCACCAACGTCGACACCCACGTTTTCCCCGCATCCACCGCAAGGTCCATTACACCCAACTCCCCACTGGCGATCGAGAAATTCGTCGCTTCATGCCTCGCCTTCCCTAAGTCCATCCACCACCTCCTCCGCCCGTAATTAGACTGCCTTTCCTGGGTAATGTTTAGCTGTGTATCTTTTTAACGAGGAACGGGGGAATTAAACTCTCGTTGAATCCCGTTGAATTCAAAAACATCCCGTTGAATTCCCATTAAACGCGAAAACGGGCGGCTACCACGCTTTCGAAAAAACGGAATTGATGCACGGGGTCCGGAACATGTGGCCCTAGGCACAAAAAAAAAAAAAAAAAAAAAAA